AGTACAAACTTATGGGAAAGTCAGAGCTGACAATGAAACCGCAGCTCTGTGGGCATCCAGAAAGGCCTCTGAAGAGCAAAGCTTTCAGAAAACAGGAAAGTGCAAGTCCTCTACAAAAGTGATTCATTAAATAGATTTAGACTGATGGTGCCACACACAGAGTTATCAAGTACTTCAATGGTTCTTTCCTTCTTGCTCTCAGACTCCTTTCTGTCTCGATGAGTAAAAATTCAGAATGAGAATGAAGCTGCCCTTCATTCACATCCATTTCCAGAGGCACTGGAAGATGGGAAGTTACTTGAAGGAGTGGGAGCAATATTTTTCTGAAAGTTGGTATTTCACCTGCTCTACCAGGAGCTTCATGCAAGTGTTCAGTAAGACACAGTGAGGATGGAGGACACCAAGCACTGCAAGGGTCTGAGAACAGGTTTCCATCGCATCTTCAAGGCTCTCTTTAGGATAAAGGACTTAAGACAGTTCTAGGCACCTCAAAGGAAGAGACTGTTCCTGAAAGTTCTAACCTGTGGAAGCTCATGGAAGAAAAAACAAAACAAAAGAAACTCAAACAAACAAACAAAAAAAAACCAAACCAAACCACACACACACACATTAACACAGCAGCATTAGCAGCAGAGGTTACAATCCTGGTTAGAAGCTTTATCACTGGATCCCTTCACAACACCAGTTCCGGCAATTTTACCAGAGTATCACCAACTAAATGGCACCAGTGGCCACATGATAGAAGTCATCACAAATTATGTTAGCTCCAACAAATGAAAGTTAAGTGTGCCTCTAATTGCTCACTAAATCACAGCTGCAGACAGGATAGAGAACATATCCTTGCTGACTGACCATGTACAGTAACTGCAGCTTCAGGAGGAAGACAGCATATTGCTATCCTCAGGGGTTGCCAAAGCACAGCAATCTGTAAACATCAGTTATACATTTAGTGTTCCAATACACTAAGCTATTAAAAGCTTTCTGTTTTTTTTTTTCCAAACTCAAAGAGTATGTTGCTTAAGTATAAAATATTAAAAAATAAGTACATTGTAACAAGATAATTCTTGTTTTGTCTTTAAATTTTCCAAGAAAGAATATAATTATGAAAAAAGTTTATGAATTATGAAAAGTGGGAAAAGGCAAGTATTTGTGGCACTTGCTATTGTTACAATTAAAATTCTGTTAACTTTATGAAAAATTTAAAAAATCAGAACAGTAATGGGAAATGCCCAGTTATCAATAATTACACAATTCTTTCATATTCCTTTGTTTCAGAAATATAATAAAAATAAATTCTAAGAATTTTTAACAGGAGTAATGATCAAAGCAATATTGTCCTCTTTCTCCTCAATTTTTCCAACCAAAGTCTTGCAAGCAATGATTATTCTAGTAGTGCCTTTACAGCCCTAATTTTGCTAAATGATGAAAGGAAAAACATGTATCATCTACTACATGTATTGAAACTGATGACTAATGAGAACCAGTAGTTTTGGTACATACAGATTATTTCTGTTATTAGAAGATCCATGCTTACCAATTACTGTTTCAAATAGCTAATGGAAGTACCTAGCAGAAGTTAGTACCTGCTAAACTGTTACATTTTCTGGTTATAGAACAAGAGATAAAACAAAGGCTGAAGGTCTTGACTCAATACTGATGACAGCAATAAACACTAGCAAGAAATGCCTGATGGAATCATCCTGACAGGCAATTCGTATGTAACATTCCAGTTAATCTGCTTTGATGAGACACAGTGGAAGAGACAGCTCCAAATCACCTGGGAAAACTCTGTCAAATAGAGAAAGCAGCTTTATTTCAATGCTCGACAAGGAGCCATATTGATTAGAGCACAGGAAGGCGTCATTCTTGTACACAAACTGAGAGATGCAGTTATTTGTGTCAATTAACTCTTATTCAATGTTCGTATTGATTGGCAAGGTCTCAACACTAGTCACTGCCATCAATATGCTATTTACAAAGGAGGTAGTTGGAAGACACAGATAACCTGCAGGATGTGGCATTATGGATTTGCTGATGTACTGCTGCCCCTGGCCTGGATGAACTGCCAGGCTTCCACGACGAGTAACCTCTCACTACAACACCTGTCCTGAAGCACTTGTGCAACTGCATTGAAAAAGCCATTTTAGGCAGATCAGACTAAAGCCAGCAACCTACAGGTGTGAAGCCTTGAGTAATAAGGAGCAGTGGAAGGGCAGTCACTTTCAAAAACAAGCTGTGTGTCAACATCAAGGCCTCTGAAGAGCAAAGCTTTCAGAAAACAGGAGAGTGCAAGCCCTCTATAAAAATGGTTCATTAATTCTTTGTCTTGCCTCTAGCCAAAACTGTTACTCCAGAACAATCTGTGAAAGAGGGGAGAAAAAGGTCACTAGATTGTCATAAACAAATCATATGGAAATGTAAAAAATGTAAAAATACAACAAAACTTTGGTTCTGCAGCTTGGGTAACAAATCTTTGGGTTTTGCAGTGAAATATTTTTTGTTAAAGGGCTTAACTAAGTTCTCCCTCCATTCCTCACTAGAGAAAGTACACAATTCGGAAAGCACAGTGTTCCCACCTGGCCTCCTCAAGGCTGGCTAGCTATGGAAGATGATCCCAAGCAGCTCTGGGGGCCAGTGGGTGTTGCAGCTCGCCTCAGCAGCCCACAGGAAGATGCACCGTGGCTGGACTCAGCTGCTGGTTTGTAAAGCAGCACGCTGACTCCATGCATCGGGATCCAAGGCTGGGATTTCAGAGGACCTCAGCTAGCTATTTTTTTTTTATTTACACTAAGATGAGAGACATTTGTATTTTAAGTAAGCTAGGTGAGTATAGGTTTATAGAGTCATAGATCTTTAGGCTCCAACTACCCCAGCTTAACAGTAAAAGATAGATCCTCTCCCTTTTCCCCAAAAAGAGGACAACATATTTACATCCTGAGTTATAATCTTATTTGATTATAACTAGCAATGACCTACTATTGTACCTTCACATTCTCTTCAAGGGGAGGCTATTTACTTTGGTGATCTGCTACTTTAGACAGGTCTGCCCTAATGAATGCTCAAGTTTTACATGGCCACAGTAAATGTTCTCATTATGTTAGCAAACACTGTTATAATGTTATATCTTGTTATAACGGTATGCTCAATTGGCAATTCGGTCATGTAAACCAGTTCTTCCCAGTGCTAAAGAATAAAACTCATTAAAAATTTGTAACTTCTATATTTACATACAGAGCCCTGTCCTCAACAAAGTGTTGCTGACTAAGCTAAAACTAATAATTTAAAACTCCAATTAATAAATTTTTAATTTAATTGAGAATTTAAAACTCCAATGTTGAAATCTGTTGGCATGCATATATTAGGTAGCATGCACTGATAATACTAATTGAAAAACTTAACTTTTTTTTCCCAAGATAATAGTTAGGACAAAGCTTTAATAAAAAGTTTTGAACACATCTTTAAACAGTAACTACATATATATGTTTTCATTAACAGACAGTTCAGTGTCAATGAGCTCCCCAAAAGGAGCTAAGATATTTGTAACCATAGGGTACAAAACCAATTCTATTTTGTATGTATGTTAGCAATCCTTCTGCTTTTCTTTTTTTTTTTTTTTTTAAATCACATTCGCAATTTTAATCATTTAGCCTAGATTTCTATATAAATAGATAATTTTCTCTTGATCTTTTACCAAAGTGCCCTTACACGCTCTGGAGAATTATTTGCCATCTCAGTTTTCGTAACAAAAGCTTACAGGCACTGAGGGACTTGGCTTAGGAAGAGCTATAACCATTCTAAAATGTCTCTTGAGATCCCTCTAGTGCATTTCCCAGCAGTGATGATTGAATAAAATGCTGCCCAAAGGAGACTGAACTGCAAGTGTTCCTTTAAAAACCAATGGAGCTGAAAATTGTTGTTGCTCAGTTCACCACATGCTCTTTTACCCTCCTTCAGCTAAGCTCTAGTACTGCCATGTGTTTTATCTGCTACGCTCTTCAGCAAGCTCTTCAGGCTGAAATATTTCTGATATAAAACACAGAAAAGACTACTTGCATTTGTCAGCACCACCTCCTTAAAGAGTTCAAATGCTAAAAATTCTAATTAAAGGAGATCATACACAGTGTTACCAGAAAGGAGGGAAAAAAAAAAAAAAAAAAGGAAAAAAAGGTTCCCTAACAGAAAAAGATACATGCAGAAATCAGTATTCCATGGGTACTTCATCCCTTGTGGAAATGCCACAAGAATGAGTTTTTGAAAGGTATATGTAATCCTCAAGTATGTTAGTGGGAAAAAAGAAAAGTTTTAAGAGCCATAGAGGATATGCAGTTAGCCACTGATGTTGCTCTTGATGACCATGCGTCAGGATGCAGAACCTGCTCTAGGTCCAAGATTTGACAGCTGTGGCCCAAAGAAAATGTAAAAGCATCCAGAGAAGTTCTGATTTCTCTCCTTTTTAGTGCCTCTGTTCCCAAATACCCTCTGAAGTGCTTCTAACTATCTGTGCTGATAAAGTCACTTCTAGATCTGCTTCCCCTTCTCCTTAAAATCAGAAACTGGGCAGGTCAAGGTGGAGCTGCTTCCTAGTTCTGGAAGCTGGTGGTAAGAATTATTAGTGATATTAAAACCATTTAGCCCAGCTATATGGAACACAGAGCAGGAAAAAAAGTGACAGATCTCAGAAACTCACGCTTAATAGGAGGTGACGAGGTAGCAGAACCTTTAAAAGACTCACCATCATCCTCCAGAGACCACTGCCCTAGTTTTTAAAAACCTACAAATAATTCTGGTGACCCAGCCACTGTCAGGAGCAGGGGATGGGGATGACTTGTTAGTCCACAGGGAACGCAATGTTACCTACATAAAGGCACAGTTAGAGAATGACAAACCTGCACTGGGGACATTTCTGCACCCAAATCACTGAACAGGATGTGTAATTATCCAATTTAAAAAAAAAAAAAGAAAAAGAAAAAGAAAGAAAGAAAAAGCAAATCAATACCTACCGGAAAGTTTTGACAAGATTCTTTAGCTCCGTGTAAATATCACCCAGGGTAATCTGAAGAGGGCCCAAAACTGCAGGTAGGCTAGAGGACAAAATATACTGGTTAAAATACTTTCTTTACAACAGCTTGTTTATAAAAATAAAAATGCTCTGCATAATGTTTTGCATTAATGCTCTAGTTCAGCATTAATGCAAAGAAGGAAGTAAATACACTTTTCTACAAGTACACTCTATTAACTCAATGGTTAAATCTATTAACTCATTTCAGCTCTGATAAGACATTCTTTAAAAACAAAACAAAACACAAAACTCAAATAGTCCACATCATGAGGACTAGTTTTCAAAGCCTCAATTATTTCAAATATTTATATTTATTTAGTTCAAAAATTAAAATAGAAAAGAAATTTACACACCTAAATGAGGTGGGTACACAAAATGTTTTTTCCAACCTCAGGTGAATCTATGATGCAAAAAAATGATTCCACAGAAGTAACAGCTTTTATTGTAAGCTGACAGCTGCATTAAAAACAGCAGAGCAATTGGAAAATTTCCAAAGAAAGAGCAGATTGTTTTAGGAAGGCACAAGTTTCTTTTAGAGAATTCATCAGTACTGAGGTTTCAACATCCACCTCAGAAGACTCTCAAAAGTCATCTCTAAAACTGAATCACAAATGTTTGAGAAATAAGGAAGTTCTTTACATCACTAATGGCTTTATCATATCACCAATGCCACTCAGAAAGGTCAGAACATCCTTGCACTTTTGTTTGTTACTTGAAGTGATGATGAATGAGCAGCAGCTTCAGCCTGATCTTTAAGAAAGTCAGAAATGCTTACGCTTTTCTCAGTTTTTCAAGGACAATCCTCTTTCTAATCTGCATTTGTGCATTTGAATCAACAAGTGGGAAGGTGAGATCTTGCTGTTGATCAACCTGTATTACAACATTAAACACACAAACATCTGTAAACTAATCAGATAAATGATAGTCATTGCATCAAAATAATCACATTTTAACAATAAGAGTAAAACCTCACACAGCTCCATACTTCTTTCAGTCTGCAAATCCTGATCTTTTTCCAAGTTATCTCAGTTGCAGCAACATAGCCAAATAAATGATCAGGATCCAGTTTGGAGAAGTTTAACAATAAGTAACAAAAAGTAGTCTTACTCAAGAAAGAAAGAAATCCAAACTCAAGTATGTCCTGTCATGAATTAAAGGAAAAATATTTGTTAAAGTTTTATTTAATGAATCAAAGAGGGAAACAATAATTTTCCCCCTCACCTGAGATCTATTCTCTTTACAACTCATTGTTTTTTCTGGTTTTCTGTGGGAACCTTCCTCACCTGTCCTGCAAGGGAACAGAGGTTATAGAAACTTTTGCCATACAGACTCTTAGAAGCCGATTCTGTAGCAGCTTCACCTCATTGCAATTAGGTAACACAACAGTTATACACTGAAGCATCAGAAAGCCTTTATGAAAGGAAAGGGTTCAGTGCAGTAATTGCAAGTTGTATATTTAATCCTTCTGCAGAGATTAGAGTTTGTACTCCAACTTTCTCTTGCATTACAAAAACTGCATAGGGTTCATCTACTTAACTCCTCCCATTTCACTTTACCAGCATTTCCTCTGCTGGCCTCAGACCATGTTCTGCTCAAGCCGCAGAATATCTTTCATGCTTCACAAACTGAAAGGTAACCGTCAGGACTCAGCATGTGTTGAACACCTACTTTATCTTTGCTGTGATGCTCCTCTATTCGTGCCTGTGCCACAGCCTCTTCAGCCAAGATGCACTTTCCTTTATAGAACTCTTTTACTCGAAGTTCCAGAAATTCAGTTTCTTCTTTTAACTTTTCATAACTAGGCAAAGGCTTAATTCCACCTGAGCCTCTAAATGGTAAAGACTGATTCAAACTGTTTTCAGACCCTGCTGCAGCAACGCTAAGATCATCAGGTTCATCTAAGTCATCCTCATCAAGCTCTTCATTCTCATGGTCGGCAGCTGATGTACACTCTGATGAGCACAAAGAAGTGTAGTTTGAACCATAGAGAAACTTTAAAGTTTCTTCAGTTCTCCATTCCATAAATGTTTGCTTAAGTACTTCTAATAAATTGCCTTTGGCAGCCAGGGAATTAACTGGATCCCTCAGTTCATACTTTTTAAGTTCTTTTGAGCTAGCTAGCATTCTTTTAAGCTGTTCTTCCCCTTTTTTGCTCACACTCAAAAAAACTATCTGTGAATCACTACAGGTATTTTCATAGTTTTTTGTAGTATTTGATTTTCCAGGAACGGTATTTTCTGAAGGAGTTACAGTTATTTTATTTTGAACGGAGCAAGTATGCATTTCTTCCTGAGCATCTAATTCACACCTAGATAGTTGCTCAGTGGCTTCTGTCACATCCAAGTCTTCATTTTTAGGGTTGGAATACACTCTCTGAAAAGGTTTCTTTTTGGGGATGCTTTTTCTGTACAATTGTTGTGCAAGATTGGCTGAACTTGACCGACTTCCTGGTAGAACAGAAGAGACAAATTCTTGTTCAGTATCACTACTGCTGTCACTGACATTGTCAGCAAAACCAGATTCACATGGGTCTGAAGATGCCCTAGGATTTTCAATGTCAGAGGCTTTAATTACTTCATCACATAGTTTCACCTCTTCTCCAGACTGACCACTGTAAGAGAAAACACAACATATGGATGAAATAAGAAACGGATATTAACTATAACAGCTTTTCAATATTATATAATTTAGCTTAGGAACGCATTTTCCCCTGATACTAGAAGTGTACTTTTTGCTTTAAAGAATCATGGCTTCTCTTCTGAAAGTCCTCTAAGTCAAAGAGTTGTAAGGTTCTGCAATTAAGAGAGCACATATATATATACTGTTTAGACAAGAAAGCTCCCAGTTCCTTACTAGTAGTTAAAAATGAATAGGAAAAAAGATAATAAAGAAAGGAGAACAAGATCAAACTTACCACAATGAATTTTAATATATTACAATTTAAATTGAAGATACACATCTTATATAGATATTTTTCATATATATATGCATGTATGTGTGTGCATATGCATAAGCTTAATTCTCTGAAATTAGCGAGACAGCAGACCTGTTTCAAGCATATGCAAGTTTGCCCTCTAACGGCCATCTTTTGCAAAACAAACAAAAAAAATCACAGTGTACAGCACTATACAGAGAGATGACAGAGTTGCATGACTTCAATTTACCTGATACAGATGTTTTCTATTAAGAAGTACAGAAGCTTTCAACACATATAATTGGTACCATTTTGTTTATAAAGAATAAATGGTGTAAAATGTGCAAAGCACAGTGTATGTTTCAGGTTTCAACAGGCTCAATTAAGATATACAGGTCAAGGGCAGCTGTACACTAAATCATACAGATCAAATATGTTGTTTTAGAATCACAAAGGAAAAAAGCTACACAAGACAAATAATCCATGTGCAGAGTCTACACAAAGGATTATTGTCATGTTTAGCTTTTGTATAACACAGGAAATCAAAGATTTCACTTTCACCTGGTGTGATGCTAATATTTCTAGCTATAAATGCATATAACAATAAGAACAACAAAATAATTGCTGAGTGTACCTCTGCCCCTCTTTCAGTAGCTCTATGTCCGGTGGTCTGCAAAAAGAAAACGCAGAGTTAAGGTTTTTCTCCTGAATCAAAGCTCCTGGAATACACATTAGTATAGAGAATCATACAATAGGTGATGTTAGAAGGGACCTTTGAAATCTAGTCCAACATCAGCTGCTCTCTCAGCTAGAGGAGACTCATTTGTATTCACAAAGCATGACTCATATATGTTTGCAACACAACACTGTTATAATGAGCAACATTTAATAGAATCAGCAAGTCACAGTCAGCCAAAGTGACTTCTAAAGTCACTCCTGCTGACCTCCTGCTTATAATGTGATTTCATCAGCTTTAGATTAGGTCAGCCTCAGCTTCATAAAGTCAAATTTTGGAAGCCTTCAAATATGGAGATGACTGACATCCTTCAAACACTGTCATCTTTTAAACTTTCTTTCAAGTAGCTGTAGAGTGCTATTAGGTCACCCTTTGGTCTTCCTTCACCAAACTTAACATGCTCAGCTCTCTCAACTTGTCCGCTTGGGCCACAAGATTCCTGTAGGAAAAATAATCCTTACATGGTCCAAATTCATAAAGAAACATGTATCTTAATATTTAGAGTGTCTTTACTTATTTGAGATATCACTTTGTTAAAACCAGGTTAGCAGGCTATCCTGATTTAAGAAAGTGGAATCTGAAGGTTTCTAGAAATTGTAAGCATCATCATTAAACAGCTGCTGAACAGCTTCTTTCTAATGGTGTAACTGCAGGTCATGTCTTTCAATTCTTGTCTTATCTAACAAACAGCTAAAGTTTATACCCTCACTTGTCCTTCTCATGAATGAGAGGAAACCCTTTAAGCATGTGCCAGTCAAGTCAATGTAGTAACATCTTAAGCATAGACAGTATAAAATACAGTTTTAAAAAGATGCAAGCTGCACCATTCACATGAATGAATCAAGCCTGAAAACTAAAGGTAGTTAACATAAAATTATTTAAATTAACACCAAATAACGAGTTTTAATTGAAGCCATGCACTATCTGGACAGAAGAGGATGAAGGGGTAATAATGTACCACTTAAATAAACAACGGTGTCAGGTATATTAAAAGTATATGCTGGTGATGTTAACAATAAAGGCAGATTTTGTAGATGTTTCATTTAAAAAAGAAAAGCAAAACCATATCACCAAGTTACTGGTAAACGTCCCACAACATTTCATTAAGAAATCTGATTATAACTACTAGAATCTCCTTTTATGAGATCAGGGTGCTGTAAATCTCTTCTGCCATTGCTCAGATATTTAATGACTGATTTGAGCTTTCAAAATGAGTTATGGACTTAGTTTCTGCTTGTTTCATTTGTTGAAAACCAAAAGATGACAACAAGTAGTGCTTTGCAGAAAGAAACTTGAATAAACTGTTCAATGTTCTCTATGCAAGCGTTTTTTTATTAAACAGTGTCACCCAGTGGCACAGTTCATGATTTACAAGCTTTTCTTTCCTAAGCTAGTCAACTCATTAAAACAGGGACTCTTCAAAACACCATTTTAAGCAGTAAGAACAGAAAATGGGTAATCTGACATTAGCACCTTTACTCAGGAAAAAAAAACCTCTTGATGATACAGTCTATTTTCAAGTGCAAGCAGTCAGGACCTATCTTGAAGAATACGTCTAGCACTCTCCTTAAAATTAGAAACTGTCTTGTAACAGGATAAAATTAAATGAATCCTGTACACTATCTGGCTTGTATAAATGCAATCCTAACAAATAATACTTTGTTATTAATGCAAACTGTTAGCAATGACTAGTCTACCCTCTAAGCTAGGGTAATTATGTCTATCGTGTAGTCATGAATAGTACTGATTCATGTCAATATACTAATTAATATGGTAACAAATCTTTTAAAATGAACATCACGTTAAACTAACATGTTAGCACCAGGTAATATCAGTTAGCTCAACTTCAACCTAACTGTTCTGACACATCATAACCAATTAATTAGCATTGCAGCTTGGATAGAAAAGTTATACTTGCTTTTCTTCTTCTCGCATCCATACTGGACTTTTGGAAATTTGAGCTTCGAAATATTTAGATGCTCTATAGCAAAAGTTACTGCAAAAACACTGGGAACGAGAGAGATGAATCAGACAAAATATAACTGAAGACATCTTTAATACTCAAACAAAGGTACACAACTCAGGTTTCTAATACCTGTAAAATTCAGGTGTCAATTTTGTTTTGGTCTGTCTCTAGGCTTTTAATACGTCATGAGGATTCAAATTTAACAAATAAGTCTACATCACTTCCCACAAACCACTTGCAGATTTTTCTCCCCCTGTTTTTTTGGCACTTCTATGACACACTGAGAATCAAACCAGTGTCAAATTCTAAATAAATAATAAATAAATAAATAAACAAACATTCAAAAGCCATCTCTAACCCAATAAATAGGTTAGACTGTTTAAAGACATGCAATTCAGATATTTAACAAATTGTAATATGCATTTTGATCAGCACAGATTTTTTTCTTTCAATACCTCAGAATAACACCTAATATTTTGCAGCACCTTTGAGAAGTTAGCTGGGATATTTGCAGCAGGGAACAAGACAAAGCATCCCAATTCTTCCCAGGGTCATGCTTGATAACTTGAGAAAGCAATTACTGGAATTTTGTGTATCTCCAGAGTTATAACCAGAAGAAAGGAAGTAAGGGCACTGAAGAAATCTGTTTCTGAATTTTGAAACATTCATCCTGCAGTTTAAGGTATAATCAAGAGCTGTTCATTGTGTGTCTTGTGAGCAGGCACTGAAGACTGTTACTAAAGTATACCCATAAATATGCTTAAAGAAAGAAATAGATTTTTGTAAAGAAATAGATTTTATACTGAAAAGTTCTCAGAAAAGGAAAGAAAAAAATGGACTAGAAAGGTAACTACAGTATGAAATGCATAGGATGGAATTTGTATTGCACTGTTACAGACATTTCATAATTACAAACATGTTCACTTTGGTTCCACAACAAAAACTTGTTGACTATGCTGGAACAAAACTTAGAACACGTGCTCAAAAACACGTCTTTAATTACCACATTCAAATGACCTGCTATTGGAGTACAACTTCCCATGTTATGCTTACATTTAGAAAGGGAAATAATAGCTTTTTCTTGCCAAAGACAGTGTTCAGAAACTGAAACACACTATCTAGGAGCTTCATATTCTGGCCATTAGCTAGATCTTTGTAAGAACTTTGTAGCTCCGAGTCAAGCGTCTGTATGAACACGCTTACCAAATGTATTTCAGGTCTTGAGAAAGTACTAGATATATTTTAGAAATAGCTTGTTACTGTACCTTTCTTTCAGTAATATCATAAACTCTGTTTGTTTTTGTGGAAATCCTGTACTTCTGTTTTGGCACCTAAAACGATACAACTTCATCACCACCACTGCAATTACCATGACTTCACAGAAAACTCAAATTTTAATACACGTATTTAAAATGAACAATGTACTCCAACTAACAATCTCTAAATTCTCTTGGTATTACCTCCTCTGATGTAAAAGCTACAATTTATCATTAATCATTTACATTTAGCTATCAGTAGAAACAATTTCAGACCCACAAGACACCCTGTTCTGACAGTAAAGCAACGGAACTACTGTTAGGAAAAACTTTAAACCTGTTTAAGCATTGGACAATTACACGTGTCCTTTTTTAGCCCTACTTATCTACAGGTCTGTGAGACTCTATTGTTAGAGACAGTCCCCTAATATAAACACAAATAGGAACTTAGATAAACTATAATATAGCTACCAAATGAATTTCTGTAGGGACAAAAGAATAAACTTTTCTGCTTGAACAGACTTTTTCAGATAACCAGGGATACCACAGTTGGAACCATACCACAGCTTACACAACTGATTCTCAAATTCTGCTTAAGCACATACTAAAATATCATATTTAAGTGTGCCTATGATCTTTACACAGGCGACACGTACTTTTAGACCAGACGTATAATAATATTCCTGCCTTGTATTTTTTTTTCACTTCAGCCTTTCTTTTCACAGAGATATGTGGTATCACCGAGGAAGGAACTACATTAGAAAGTTTCTGCATGCACAAAGAAAGGCCACAAAGCTGCTCCTTATTCATGGGATTCTGTCATAAAGTAATGATTGTCAACTGCTCAGGTTTAATGTTTCACTTCAGAAGGACAATGCCAAAACAGAGTTATGGGACCACTGGCCCACTACTTGATAATATTTTAATTTATGTTTAAAACTGTAAATGTAAAATGAAAAAGAAAATGCAAGAGAATTTTAAAAAATTAATAGCCTTTTTATAAGAGCATTAATAAAAAGTAACTTACATTTTCCAGTTTATTTTGACACAGAGGATAACCGCATAGTCTGATGATAGAGCGTTCATCAACAATGTCTTTATAGTGAGATGGGGTAATAAGTTTGCCCTAAAATGACAAGACAATACTTCATCAAGAGGTATTATAAGATCAGCTAATTGTTACTTTCAAAGCTTCTCATAAGCATACGAATATTGTTAATTTTATACTACTACCTAGTTAATAATCAGTATTTAGAACTTACAGAGTAAAAGCAGTAAAATGGTAAATGAACAGAGAAAGGATGAAGATAATAGCCATTTTTCTTTACTTAGAAATAAAAGCCTGGCTATTTCGTCATTAGCACGATACATTTTCACTATTTTCCTCTACTGACATATTATATACACCTACTTACTAACATTTACTATACTTTTGCAGCTACATTCTTCTGCTCCTCATCCCAAATGTCAAATATTGGCAAAAGGTCAAAGGCAAAAATTTCTGCAGTTTCAGAAAATTTCTTCTTATCTGCACAAGCCCCCCCAAAATGGAAGTATTTTGTGCTCCCCCCATTCTATTTACAAAAAAGCCTTTGTTCAGAATTATGTAGCGGTCTACAGCATTCATATCAAAGCAAAACTTAAAACCACCTCCAAATTTAATGAGTTTGGTGAGGGAAGTTTAATATGAACTATTTATTCTGTAGAAACAGCTTTTAACATGATGAACTGTTTTTATTATTTTTAGAACAAAAACATTTTGTGGAGTCATTTTTAGCTAACAATACTATCAAGTAAGAGTAATTGCAGTTACATTCCTAGGCATGTTCACAAAGCTGCTGAAAAGCTCCACTTTAATTCCCACTGCACAGCACAGTCATCCTGAGTTTGATCTCTCAGCTTCGGCCAGATGAAACTATTTGGCCTGGATGATGCAATTAATTCTCTACTAAATTCACTGTAAGTGGTCATCGTTCTCCTACTGTGGCAAGAGCTTCCACTCTGTGTGCCATTTCAAAATCGGCCATCGAAAATTAAGCTAAGAAATACACATATACCAGAACTGTAATGTGTCCTCTGCAGAGCTTCACCTCAGGAATCATTCCCTGCAGTAATAATCCTCATACAGTGCTAGCAAAACTATGCTGCCGGATTAACTTCAGGGCAGTAGCACTGTAGAAACATTCCATAAATTCACAGGGGGGATGATCTGGACCTACCATTTTAGTACTTCACCCATCAGCCAGGAGCTCAAGAGGCATAAATGAAGGCAGTGGCAATAAAGTGAGGATTCATAAGTGTATGAATTGAGTTTAAAAAGAGGGCAGATCTTCAGGGCAAAGCTGCTGAAAGTAGGACAATTGTCATCAGATCCTAAGAGATCTGTCGAAACTGCAGAAAATTGTTCCAGGGAGATAGAAAAGGGTATGGAAACTTGCAGCACTTACAGAATTCACAAGGAACTCTTCAGTAATGTTCTCTTCCAGCAGTTGTTCAACGGTATATAGCGCTTTTTTCTCAAATTCAATTTTCTTTCTAATAGCAGCCTCCAGAGCTGCTTTCCTGTAACAAAACAAACATTGAATGTGTAACAGCAGACTCCTGTGAACAAAAACCCCCAAATCTGTTTCTTTTTCTGAAATACAGTAGCTTATTTTTTGGGGGGTTTCACCACAGTGGCCTAACAAAGCAACAAGTAATTTGTCTAGTAATTTGGTAATTTCCACAACCACTGAACAAGTTTCCAACCTTAATTTGCTTTCATCCTTACAGTCAGAAAAAGCATTGACTCTTACTGGCAAAAAAACACAGAAGAATGAAGCAAAAGCTTCAGGAGGGAGGAGAACCACCCAATCAGTAAGTAAACACATTATTGCCAAAAAAGATAACCAGCTGTATCAGTAAGCTTGTTAGGCCTGTGGCACTTTAAAAACAAAGCAAAACCAAATGAATAAAAACAAAGAGCTCTACGAGTAGAAATAAAATTTTTTGTTAGACCTACTGAGGGAATGGGAAGAAGCAGGCACCTTTGTGAACAAGATGCTCTGCCTGCTCTATCACCCCAAACCAGCTCTCCCACAGAAGAGGCTCAGGAAGGCACGAGCCCAGAGCTGGGACTACACTTTTTACCACATAAGCAGGCAGTGATACCTCTGAGCAGCATCTTCTTTCCTCTGCGCAACTGAATGCTTAGTTCCTAGAAAACAAGCACATAAATCTGTATATTTTCTTCCCTTAAAATACATTTTAAGCAATGAACAAACACAATTCTCATGTTTCCATCCTCAGTCACTGTGCAAACAGCTTTATCCAGGAACACACTGCAAACTCTGAACTGTAGGCCTAAGAAAAGCTATTTCCTTCGCGGATATAACACCTTTCTTTTTTTTTTCTCCCCTCTTATTCCCCCTTCCCTCCCCCTTTTCCCCCACAGCCATTCCAGCACTTTCCGGACAGCCAGAGCTGCTCCCTTTCCCGCTGCCCGCCCCACGGCAGCCCCGGGGCCCCCGCCCG